TAAAGAATACAACGAAAATTGCAATTCATTCGCTAATAACAGATTTATTGTGAACATACAGGTTTCTTTTTTCTTTTTCTTCTTCTTCTTATTATTATAATATTAGTAACATTAAATCAAATAAAAAAACAAATTTTCTCACTGATTAATTTGAAATTAATGGAAAAAAAAAATGATCCAGCACTTTTTCTCTATTTTTATTTTAATTAATACTATGCATGCATGACCTATGTTTTATCTCGAATAAAATGATGAAAACTAGAAATATTTTTTAACGCATTATTCACGCTTTTTATAATTTGAATAGCGAAAATATAAAACAACTATAAAAGAAAACAACACTTTTTTTTTTTCTTCTTCTTCTTAAAATAAACTCTTTTATTATCAATGTTCATGTTTGATGTTCTTCTATTATTATCATTATTATCAAACTTTATGAATGGAAACAAAAAAAAATTCTAAAAATAAGTATCGAAAAAATTAACTAAATGAAATTATTTATAGTGTGAGAATTTAATAAAAAATATTTGATCAATTATCAAAGAGCGCGTCAAGGTCATAATATAGAATCGTATTAATATATATATAATTTTAGTCAATTCATTTTTACGATACTTTTTATGGCTTTTTTTGAATCATTTTTTATTTCATTTATAAAATCTGACAACGATGTCAAAAAACTATTTAAAGAGCTAGGATGAATAATAAAAAAAATTTATCTAATAAAAAAGTTTACTGTTTTCTTTATTAATATTTTTATAATAATACTGTTTTGTTCTTTGAGCCTTTATGATTAAAAAGATCGAGCTAAGTTGAAAATAGATCACTCATTTTTCTATTTAAAGTTGTTCTAGAACATTCTGTATACAAAATGACCTATCTAAACATTTTTCAATTCTCTTTCTGAAATGCGTAAAAAAAATAAAAAATAATTTTAGTCATTTGAACTCAAATAAGTTTTAATAAATTAGAATGCAGACAAATTTCATGTATTAAGAAGAGATGAAAATGAAAGTTTTATTCAGAATTATAAATATCATAACTATAATATTGGCAACAATTAAATTTAACTATCCGATTTTTCTCTACAAATTATATAATGTTTCTCATTTGAATGAGATTTTTGTTGACAATCAAAATTCTTTGAGTATCAACTAGAGTGTAATTGAGCTGCATTCGAATTGCGAATAGGATGCTCATTTATTAGATATTTTCGAATTTATAGTAAATAATTTTTATTTGGGTACCGTGAATTAAATGATATACGAGAAAATATTGAAGAAAAGAAGTTTTTACAAATGGGAAATGTGATTTGACATCATGGCGTTTTGAGTAGCGACATAATTTTTCCTATTATAAACTACGGAATGTCCATCAATTCTTAAAGCAATAACGCTTCATGTTTATTTAAAGAAGATGTACATCTGTGCAATAAATATTCATATCTCGTACGAAAAAAACGAAATATTGACTTAAACAAGCATCATCAAAAAATCGACTTCATCATCATTGTGACGAAGATGAAAAAAAAATGTGCAGTTGTTTTTAAAAATCATTAAACTTTTAGAATTAATATCGTAAGATAAGCACTCATAGTCTAATAATTAGAGTAGAAAAATCGAGGATTTCGCACAAGATGATTAGATTAGAGTTAATCTGTAGAACGATTTTGATAGGAGTTTTCGAGAAGAACCGAGACCGTGCACAATTTCAGTTCGCTGCGAATTCAAAATGTGACTACTATAGTAACTGATATTGTGTATAGTATGGAAGAATCAGTGAGAAAATTGAATGAACGCATACGGATTTAGAAAGAAAGAAAGAAGGAAGCAAAAGAGAGTAGTCAACACCTGATTACTATTAAATTGACAAAAAAAAGTGACACAACAAAAAATATGATTAAGATGAAAGCAAAACTTTTGAAAGCACAATGGGCAGTGAGAATAAAAGTCAATATAAACATCACTCTATTTTGTAAAACTAAATGAATCAATAGGTCGGAAAAAGTCGATCTAATAGATCGTATGAATAGTTCGTAAAATAATGTCTTTTACATGTCATTGTAAACTCTTTTTAAATTTGTCATGAAGAGAATATTCAAACATAATATGAATTTTTAATGTTCGACTAGTATGCGCGAATAATGAATGAAAAAAAAAACAACTGCGATTTTAGATCAATTGTACATTGGTCATATGATAAATGAATATTTACGATATGTTACGAGACAGTTTCCTTTTATATAATATACACATTTATTACACATTATGAGATTATGGATAACCTCTTTGATTTATATGAACAAAATAACCGTACCAATCACAATATGATGTTCGATACTAAAAAGTTTTCGTTTTGAAAAATATTCTGATGTTATAAATAATTTTATAATTGATTTGGTGAATTATCTTCATCTTCATCTTCATTCTCAATGATATATGGTCGTTGTGGGTAGTCAATCTAAATCATTGTTTACTTCACCAAATGATCATTTATTAGTATTTAGATATTGTTCTTCATCATTATTGAACGACCAACAACCAACATGTTATTATCAACAGACAATGAAATAAACTGATTTTAACATACACGATTTATAGTATATGTTTGTTTTTGAAATGAAAAAGCCTAATTATATGAAACGTACTTTTCATAACATAAAATGATTAGTATATGTTACACTTGAATAAACTTGTTTTTTATATGCATTAATTCACAGAACTTGTGAGATAGCAAAATTCAAATGTTAACTAGTCAAGTGTAACATAAATATGGATAAACAGAGCAACTGATGGATATAAATAACTAGATAATTCATATAGTTATCACTAATCGCACATGTAGCAGATTAAAAAATATTTTATCTATGACAAAGAATGTAAAAATAAAAATAAAGATAAAATATACAACTAATAATACTAATGTTTTGCTAGATTATTACAGTAAATAATATGAGTCATAGAACACATAGATGTTAGATCAAAAGTGTTTGTTTACAAATATTATATAGAGGCTTGTCAAATTGATAGTGCGCTATCCAATCCATGGTGACAAGTTACTATGTAGTTTGAAGCATGTTAAATACCAATAAACAGAAAAAAATTAACTTTCTCTACTACTTAAAAACATTTGATGTCAAGTTTTTTATCATAGAAGTATAGTCTTATCCTTACTTTTTCTTGTTGACAAGACGATTTACAAATGCATATTTGTCACTAAGTATCTTGTTAGATATGACCGTCTTCAAACTGTATCTTTGATTCATACCTTGAATAAATATACATTTTCTACACAATGTAAAAAATAAAGTGTGGCCGTAGATGTGTAAAAGTTCTAAGTGCGCAAATACGAATCAAGCTAGTCGTGAAAGCAGATGTCGTGAAGACAATATGCTCCTTGACGTTTTGCAATAAATCATGACGAATCAAGCTGGTGTGTTTTTTTCTAGGTGTGCAAATGCGAATCAAAGCGATGTGCAAGTTCAGTGTATTTTGGGCACACTTTATTTTTCACAGTGCAGAAAACTGTCGAAATTGAACAAGTCCTTTTCTTCGTTATTATTATTTAACCACTAAAAATAACTATTCTTCAAACTGAACAAATAATTACCATAAAAGCATAAAACTTTCTATATGATAATTTTCTAAAAAGTAATAGTAAATGATCGGTTTGTACTGATACTTGTTCTAATATTAAATGAAGGTTGTTGTTATCTCTATTCAGTTCTCTATTCATTATTTCCTTTTCGATTGTTGATTGTCTCGAGTTTAAAGCATATCAGTCCTCTCCGAGTGCTCAATATTTGCATTAATATCAATGAATATCTGTTTTCGTCGAGAGTTAATGGAGTATGAATAATAACATTCAACAGCATTATTTCTATTTTTGACTAGTATTATACGTCATTAGAGCACTTTGAATTCGAATAACACCGTCGGATGTTTTATGCGTGAGTATGTATTGCGACTTTTCTCTTAAGTAAACTAAAATTATTGATAAATTGTTGTTTTGCTATGTCGTGCTGTTCAATGGGTCTGAAAATTGTATCCGTGCACAGCTCTATCGAAGATGAACATTAGTGGTTTTGATACGAGAAAGATAAATTTTTATTAACAAGTATAAGATAGAAGTGCTTCCTAGAGATCGGATCTAGTTGTGTAAAAGAGTTTCTAAAACTTAGTATCATTTATTTTGTTGTCCGGGTCCAAGACTTGAATCATGCTGTTTCACGTTTATTGGGACCTGGTTTATTTGTATGTCAAATACGTCATTTGTATATGATTTTATGACCTACTCCTTGGCAGAAAGAGTAAGAATGTCCGAATTTCTGTAGTAGGGGAGGGCTCAGTTCTGAAAATTTTTTCAACATGGTTCATGCGTTGAAAAATATCCTGATAAGACCTTTTTCCTTCAAAAACATTATTGTCACAGCTGTAGCTAAGAGGACACCTCTTAACAGTTTGTGTAAATCGAAGGTTGAGAATCTTTTACGGAAAGCTCTAAAACGTGCATTAAACGATCTGACTGGATCTGATCTAAACCTTATAGCACTAATTTATATAAAATCGATTGAGAAATACGAACAGCTTCATTCTAACCAGTGTTATGAAGATTTTTTGCCACCAATGAAAGAGAAAGCAGTGCAAAAAGTGTTTTTACTAAACTTCGCGATGCAATCAACATTTGTTAAAAAATTGAACGAAATCGGTCATAGATATATATAGATTTCTAATATGGAAGAATTCATAGATTTAAAGTAAATTCATCATAAAGATTAAACTTTTACAGATGTAGCAAGAATAAAAATATATTCATTGTTCAGCGCGTACAGTTTAATGGCTAAAAAAAATTTATTTAGGACCTTTTATTTTCAGTCGCAGCGTAATCTCCAACTGATATAGCATCGTCTATATATAGTTCATATGTTAGTAAATAGAGTTCGTAATTCGAAAAGAGGTTGATACAATATACAGCAATGAGAAATAAGATTATATTATTTTTTATGTTGATTGTAAGCGGCGTAACGTTGATTCATCCGGTTTCCATATTCCATTATAAACTTTTGGTCGTTTATCATCTAGACGAGAAAGACTTATTTGTACTCTAACATTATTTACTTTATACGCTGCTGTGTCAATATCAACATCATCATTTGTGGGTTGTGTACCTGTATTTGGGTGGACACTATTAGCGCTTGTTTTTGAGCGCGGAGATTGAATGAAAACATTAACTATCGGTACATCAGCGTCTAAAACGAAAAAAAACAAGAAAATATCCTTATATTCAACTGTTGTTATTTTCTATATTAATTATCAGATGAAATATTTGTTATCGCGCTTACTATCATCATTATCTTCATTTGTTCTCAATGGCTGTTGTTTTTGTTGAAATTTTGTTGTTTGTTTTGTTAAAAGTTTAATGGCATTTTCTAATCGTGATTGTTTTGATTGTAATTCATTAAATTGCTTTTTTGACTCTTCCTCTTGTCGAGATAATTTATTTTTTAATTTACGAATTTTGCTTGTTTGTAAATCCATTGTAGTTGTTGATGTTGATGGTTTTTCTTCTTCTTCTTCATTTTTTGGTTTTACGTTAATAACGATTGGTGTAGTTTTTCTTGTATCATTATCATCCAATTGAAGTGTTTCAATTTTCTTTTCTACTGATGATGTATTTTGTTGTTTTTTATTTTGTTTGTTTTTAATCGACGGTGATTTTGATCGTTCATCGTCTAACTGAATTGTTTCCACTTCATCACGATCACTGTTAACCGGTTGATCATCTGTTGTACTAAGTGAATGCGTCGATTGTTGAAATGGTTTACTAGGATCTTTGAATGTTCGTTTATAAGTGGTTAGATTCGATGAAATGTCAGAACTTTTTGTTGTAGCAGATGCGTCGGTGCTATCACATGTATCATTTACTGTAAGATTGAGGTTTTGATTTTCTTCATCGATCGATTGCATAATTGGCAATGAACGATTCAATGATTCTTTCACATATTTTCTAGATGCTGACTTATCATCATTTTTTCGTCTACAATCGGAGATACGTTAGATATTAAATAAGAGTAGTTTCACAGATATATATATATATATATTACTTTTCAACTAGACCTGATAACGAATTCAAATCAATCGTGTTATTTAACTGATGTGCTTGTGGTGGTGCGCGTTCTGACTCTTTTAAGCCTTTCAATGCCGAGTTAATCATACTTCGAGCTTGATCTTTTTCTAGACAAACAAGTCAAATTGACTTAAACATGATTACAATATGTTTAGTGAAATAGTCTCACCGATTTGAGAAGCTGAAACGAGCCAAGATTGTACATCTTCTAAATTACTCGTACCTAATAATTGGCACAAAACTTGTAGCATCTAAATGGAATTATGTGATGTACATTTAAGTTAATGGTGTGTGTTTTCTTCGTTTTCCCCATACCCACATATCGCGTTCATTTTCTGGTACGTTAAACAATGTTTCATTTAGAGCTGTTGCATGTTTACTTGATGTTCGTCCTCTCGATTTTCCTTGCCCCTCATTAAATCGTCCAGTTTTTGTTGAATAATGTGCACCCGATCGAGAATTATTCTTATCATTAGCGGTACTTTTTGGTGGTATATCATTATTTTGTTGTTTTTGCTCATTTTCTATTCCTAGACCACTAGCCGATGCCAATGCAGCTAATTCTTGTTTCCACCGTTCGATATCATTTACTAGATATTAAACAGACATTAATTCAATGCATAAACAGACTTTTGTTAATACTTACCAACACCGTAAGTGTTCCAAAAACCCATTGGTGGAACTAGTTTTTCGACACGTTTTGAAGTCTCAAATGCCGAAGGAATGTTAAGTGGATTTTTATTAAAAGTCAATGAACTGGAATTGTGTACTGCACTATTGTCGTCATTCACGTTACAAATTAATGTACCATTTAAACCTAGTGTAGAAAAAATGGTTCTGTAAATAATCGTTAGAGGTTATTATCACTTACCTTCTATGTGCCTTAAACGTTTAGGTTTTGCAGTATTGCGTGTAAAGAACATATTTGAACTGAGTGCACCAAATCGACTACTAAACGGTGTTCGAGATGATTCAGTTCGTTTTATTTCAGTTGCCATTCTATTATTTAATTGTTATCATTTGAAATAGCCTATAATGCACGAATATTGATCTGTATCTAAAATAAGAAAACTGATATCTCAAATATCCTCTGAATGAGAATTTTAGAAATTATTTATTAATACAAAGTTAAGATTGTAATGCGAGAAAATTCATCAGGATATAGTTTTACGATTATTCTTTGATGCAATGAAACTTCTCACATAGAATAGAAGAAACAAATTTTATATTTTTGATATCATCATAGACGTCTATAAGTACTTAGCTTTAAGCGTTTAATATATAGAAAGATATACGTTGTTTTTATCCTGAACGATCAAAATTGTCAAAATTAGATATGATTTCTACAAAAATCTTATGAAAAAAATTTATTCTAGCCTTTCAGAGAAGATGCGAAGGATATTTTGTACTTTTATCTTAATATTTTTATTATATTTTCATATAAACTTTATGATTTTCTTACATTCAATTCTTATGGTCATGATACCCATTTTAGTGCGTCTCTATCGTATAAAATTTTTATAAACATTTAATAAAATTACACAAATGTTTCATAGAATCGACTCTCTAAGATTATGATAAGGATAAAAATATCTTATTAAACTAAACGTTATTGTCAAAATTCAGTCATTGTACTTAACTTTTTTGTTGTTTTACTCTTTTAATCGTTTTTACTTACTCATTCAAGTAAGTAAAAACTTATAGCTAAACAAATTCTCTATAAGTGTTTTTATAGTCTCTCTCTCTCCAATTTTTTTTACTATATGCCTCTTGCAATCAATTAGGTGGAGCTGTTATTATACAAACGATAGACAAAATTTTTTCTTTTTGCGTTGTTTTGCTAAATTCTTAGTGTTCAAAGTCTACATCGTTTAATCATCATTTTGGTTATTTAGACAAGTGTAGAAGTGTATTATGTATCAGTAAAATAAAACACGTTTAAAAATACATTGTAATTTATTCAATTTTTGAACAAGTGAAGTAAAATTCCACACTATCACTTCTATAGTTTTTGAAGATGATATTTTCGAGAGAAAAGTGTTCACCTTGACTACGGTTATTTATTATACAATCATCTTTAGACTTGATGCCATTTTCAAATGATCATAAGTTTAAACTATCTGATTCAGGATGCAAATACTGTTAGCAAACAACAATATCACTCACGGCTACAAGCGTCTACGTGCTAAAATCGATCGTTCCCGATCGTATGGTAGCTATACACACAGACAACTTCTTTTGTTGGCATTTTTTGTACGTAATGTTTTGTTTATTCACTTATTATTTTTAAACACATTAAGTAATACAACAAATAAATTTTTTTCTAGTTCATGGAAATATATTTGCTTTTCTAACGACCTTTGATTTTAAGTATTTTAAATTCTTTTTGTTTCTTCTTTTGTATTTTATGATTTCCTCAAGCATAAATAAATGGCAGCATGAAACCCAAAAAAATATCTTAAATATGCTCGGAATAGATTAAATGGTATGTGCAAACACAAAAAAGAAAGAGAGAAAGAGACAAAAAAACATTTAAAAAGTCTTGAAAAAAAAAATATATCTCATAATAATGATTTCCGATTAAAAATATATTAAAAAAAGGCCAAAGAAAATATTTTGACAATAAGAACAAAGTACAAAACATTTATTTCTGTATCTTTCTGAAATGTTTATTATTTAGATAATACAAAAACAGTCACGACTATAGACTTATAGAGTTACTTTTGTCACCAATCGGATTTGAAGATAGTTATTTGAGACTTTTTAAATAAAATTTCAGTGTTTACTTATCAATATTTTTTAAATGCTTACCATTAATTCGTTTATCGGCAGATACTCTACATTGAATTTGTGTGAATATTTTAAAGAAGATATGATTAAAATGACGAGTATGAGTGTTGTTTGTGGAGAGTTTTTTCTTCAGAATTTTATTGAAGTAGCTTGTGATATATATCAAAATCAAATATAATGAATAAAATCGAACATGTCCTTGTCATTTCAAGTAGTGTGTGTTTAATACTTGAAATGAGAAATCTAAGAATTCTATAATAAACAAAATAAAACATCTCTAATCTTTCTTACATATAGGCGATAGTAAAGATTGTCGAGATATTTAAATATTAAGTGTTGATTATCATTTATGGATTAACTATCATATATATTTCGTTTATAGTCAATTATTGATCAAAATCAGTATAGTGTCTAACTAACCCTGATAGCAATCAAGTGTAGATGAGACGGAAGTATCGGTAGATTTCTAAGTGTTACATAAGCAGGTGACATACCCATTCGTTGTTCAGCCAATGGTGAAATGCTGCTTATGTACGGGAAATCGTTGATGCTCTCTTATTTTGTTTGTTTTTAGTTATACAGGTATCACTAAGGCTTCTGTTTATCAGATGTTATAAGTTACTAAACGTTTACTTTCTTTTGTGATGTCCTTGCTTATACAAAATAAATTTGAACTTGATGTGTAGTTTCACATGCCGTTAAAATAACTATAAGATAGTTTAAGATATGTTTAAGTAATCAATGTTTTTCAGATCCAGTAAGCATGTTGCTGTTAAAGAATTATATATTTGAGCCATTAATGTTTTCGATATGATCAATATAACCGTTATAATATCCATTTATTGTTTGTCCATTAAGATTTCCATTCAAATACATTTGTTACTGTTGTTCTAACTGCAACCATAGACAAATACTATATGCAAACAAAATGGACTATAAAAACCAACATAAGGTGCTGTTGCATCTATCAACATTACCAAAATCCATATGCAAGCGAATGAATCAAATACTAAACAATAAATATTTGTTTATAGTGGATGGAGGTAGACAGATACTAAATATAGGTCGATCGTTTGTTATATCAGCTAGATACATTCAAGCTTCAACTGTTGTATTAACTAAATTAAGTATTTGAGAATAAATTTACAGCGAAGTTAAATAGATAGCCGGATCGATATAACCAGCATTTATATAGGTAGCTCTAGTCATCTGTTCATCATAGAAATGAAATATATCATCAGAAATGCCATTGAATGTCCATACAGACATTAAACTTGAGTCCGATGATGAAATTGTATTTATACACGTCGTTATTGGACATATTGAAATTGTGGTGATTGTCAAACTTTTTTTACTGTCTGTAGATTAGGTGCCGATGTTCTTCTCATACCACGTTCTATATGACAACGTGTGACAGCATTGGCAAGCACCTCCTCTTTTCGCAGAAACTAAATTATATGAAGAGTATGGCATATTAAATTTTTCTCACAACTGAGTTTTGTAGAACAAACATTTCTCTACAAAATGAGCTATACGAGCAATCTTCATCTCGATCCAGATGAAAAAAAATGTATACTTATAAAAAAAATGTTTAATAGGAGCCCCATTTATCGGTTTCGGTAAGAATAAATCGTTATTTATTCTTCTTTTCCAATAAACGAGTCTTCGCGGTAATGTCGTGTCACGCATACTCTTCATACAATCCTTTTTCGAAAAAAACTACAAATATCGGTTTTTAACCGATACATGCCTGCGGTAGCAGCAAAAATTGAATGCTCTTTTACTAAGAAACTTTTATATTTGTTTAGGTTGATCTTGCTGGAACGGTAAACGGCACTGCAGCTCATTTTACAGCTACAATCAAAACATCCAAGGGCTACATTCACTTCGACGATCAACGCGGATTTTTCGCATACCGTGAAAAAGAGGAAGCGGAAACCGCTGTTTATACTAATAGAGCAACAGGCTTATAGTATAAACAGCAGCACGATCTTTTTTCCTAATTTTTCAAATGTGTGGCCTTCTCCGGACAGAAATTGCTACTCATTTTCCTACAGAATTAATTTTTTTTGTTACGTATAAATTACTCAAACGTTTATACAATTCATGCAGTTTCAAAACATTTCTGGCGCAAAACATAAGGAAATTAAATTAAGAATACCTTTCAAAAGTAACTTACACTACACTTTACTTCTTAGTAATCTTTCAACCAAATATACAGAACAGTCCTTCCCATATTGAATATACTTCTTGTGTTTTTCTTCTTCAATAGTGTATGATATCCTTACATTTTTCTTTGGACACTTACAGTTTTGATCCAGGAAAAAATGCACAACTGATCCTGTATA